AAACTATCGGAGATAATCCTGACGGATAAACCTTTCAATCTCGTCCTTCAGTTGCTTACAGGCTTCGGTAGTGTGGCCACGACTACGATGAAAGTGGTAGTATTGGTCCTGATTTCCTGTGTCCGGCTTCAAAGGATGTGGCCATTTCACCGTATCTTGATCTCGAACAGCCATTAACACATTTTCTAGAGATGTATTGAGAGGAGTGTATGCTTTCTCCTATCGAGGTTCTCGTCATGGCAATCGAGGTCTAGGAGGTAGATTGTTCTTCCCTTGCTTCTTTCATTGTGAAGATGAATTATCCATCCATAGTGCATCCTTGCGCTTCCCGTTAGTTTGCTCAAACTGCTTTCTATGGGCATTTATAGCTTCGTTTGTTGAGATTTGAGCATCTACATGATGGATTAAATCACCTTATGAAGGAGCAATGTCTCGTATGAGGGCCAAATAGAAGGGGCCAAGGCGAAGGCCTCCAAGGAAGACTCCTCTCAACAGTTCAGGATCCACTCCTGGGATTTGTCGAGCTTTAGTAGAAAATCGTTGAAAATACTCCCTCAATGTTTCTCCTTCATTCTGACGGATTTTAGAGAGGTGGGAAGAATTTTTGGCTATTCTTCGATTGGCTACGAGCTACTCGACAAAAGCTTTGACCAATTTTACAAATGAGGGGATCATTCCGGACGGAAGCGAATAAAACCACGTTCGAGCCTGTCCTTTGAGGGTGGCAGGAAAGACTTGGCAGAGGAGGGCATCTGAGGTTCGCTGAATATGCATGATGGTTATGTAGTGATCGATATGCTCATATGGATCGGACGTCCCGTCGTAAGACTCGATGCTGGGTACTTTGAATCCAATCGGAATGAGATGTTATAGTATGGCCTCAGTTAGAGGTGATGACTCATGGAAGTCTCTCTATCGGAGAGCTTGTCCCACATCCCCTTGGGGGAATTCTTCCCTTACAAACCTTTGCAGTTCATGACGCAGTGCATTATGAGGGTGTTCCGTAATGTGTGGTTGGGCAAAGTCTTCTGGGAGATCCGGGAAAATGTGAGGCTGCCGAGTCGAGGGCAAAGGATGTGTAGAACTTGTTGTATCAGTAAGTTCATTATCCTGTCATGACTGAGGATGTCTTCTAGGTGGAGGAAGATGAGTCTCTGCTTGAAGACGTTCGAATTTAATATCTTCAACCCGTGGTGGATCCCGAGGGAGAAGGACCTCCTCCCATTGTGCCAGTGCCGGCTGCCGATTCTCACGCAGGAGTTGAACGATCTCATTCTGAGACTCTTCCATCTTCTGGATTCTTTCTTCTAAAGAAGGTCCCGAGGTTCCTTCTCTGACAGCATTTTGCCCCGCAGGATGAAAAGAGGTAGACATTGGGCGTCTGGGATTCACGGATTGATTTCTGGATTGGTGGGAGTTGGAGCGGGAAGCTCCAACGAAGCTACTACTATGCCTATTAACCATTGTAGCAATACTTAAAGTTTATGGGATATTGTTTCTCATAGACGGCGTCAAACTGTTGCGGGCTAGAATATATGCGACGATAGAGTTAAAATACTTTCATCTTAGCGTTGTACGAATATTCAGCCCACAAACAGAAAAGGAAAATAAACACCATGATTTTTACAAGGAAAACTATAAAGAGAGAAAAAACCACGGGGCTACGCCCAGTTGAAGTAATTCTACTAGTGTTTGTTTGAAGTACAGAGACTGATTCGTCCCACAAGTTAGGACGATCATATTATAAAGAGTTTCTTCTGAATTGAAATACAGTTACAAAGTTATGCAAAATTCCGGCGTCTCCCGAATATCTGGCAGAATTCCGACGTATTCAGGCGACGGAAAGAACTCCGGCGGTGGCCGAGGAGGAGCTGATTCTCCTCCTTCTTCTCTTCTTCTCTTCTTCTTCTCTTCTCTTTGCTTCTTCTTGCTTGAGTCCCCCTTTGTGAAGAATGAGGGCTCTATTTATAGTTTTTCTGGAGTGGCATAGCTCGTAAATAGGCATGAAATCAGGGGCGAATAGGGAGTGGTTGAATGGACGGCTGATATTGAATCCTTTGATCGTGCACCGTTCGTTGGATATTTGAAGGCTTTAGTGATGTCGGAATTCGGCGATCTTGGGCTCGTTGGATTTTTCTTGTCGAGCCATTCGATTCGACTATAAGCTCATTAAAATCGGAGACCGTTTGTTAACTCAAATTGTGGTACGAGCTTTCCAACAGTGCTTTAGGTGCTTGATTTTGGCTCATTTGGGCTTGGATTGAGTTGAATTTGGTGTCGTTGGGTTCATATTTCCGAGACACTCAGTTTGACTATAATCTCGCTGAAATCGGAGTTCAGAAGCTCCTGAATTTAATTTTTGAAGTTTTCAGTTTGATTCTGCCTCGAGATTCGTGCTTGATCAAGATAATTTTTTGAGAATATATCAATTATATTATTATTTTATAAAAAAAGTTTAAATACACTTAGGCCCTTCATCATTTTATACTAAGCCATGAACTCATTTTAAGCCATTCATTTAATAGATAGTTGTTTGGGGAATTTTAGAGAGAGAAAGAGAGAGGAAAGCTTGTTTTTGGTGACTGTAGAATAAATTTTTTTCCCACCGGCTAAGTTGGAAAATTTGCTCAGATTGAGATATGATATGTTTTGCATATTTCAATTTTAAATAGTTTGGTGCTCTTGATATTTTTTTGATCAAATTTATATTTTTGTAATAAAAAAAATGAGAATAATTTTGTTTTGGTAAAAGTTTTAACTCATAACTTTTTATATGTTATAGAGAATAACATTATGAATATTTTAAGTATATTTTAAAAAAAATTTGTGTACGATTTTGAAAAAATAGCAATATATTCTTGCTAAAAAAATTATATTTATATCTAAAAATAGTGCTTTAGTTCAATTAAAGCTTCAGAATGATGTTTTACACATTTTTTGATAATTTTGTTTTATTTTAAAATATTGAATTTTTGCTCAGTAGTATTTTCTATCATCTAATTTTAGGTCATTTTGGCAATTTTAAGAGTTATTCGGATAGTCATTATGAAGTACTTATTTATAATTCAATTAATTTCAATAATTTTTTTAATTGCATTCAATTTTAGTATATTATTGAGTTTAATTTTTAGTTCTTTTGATTTTATTTATTAATTTATATATTTGGCTACCATAGTCTAGTGAGCCGTGTTAGCTCATCTCAGTTTTTGCTTCTATTTTCAGGCTAGGGTAAATAGCGAGCTGAGTTATTTGGATAGCAGGCTCCAATATGTATTGTAGGTATATTTTGGTTAGTCTTGATTTTTGCAGGTTTGACTTTTAGTTTGTTATTCTCTCTATTGCCAAGCGCTGTTGTAGATAGGCTTCAGATTATATATTTTTAGATGATATATAAAAAAATCATATTGAGATTCAATAGCTAGCCTTCCATTTTATATTGCATTCAATAGTGGTTCTGTGTAATATATAAATTAGAAGTTTTATTTTAGTATTTCTCCAATCATATCTAGGGGTAAGTTTTGTCACAATCAGACATGATATGACCTATGTGATATCAAATTAGATTGTGATATTCTTGAAGGGTAATAGAGCACTGTAGGAGAGGCTACAACCAAAAAAATAAAATAATATATGATTAAATTATTATAAACATGTGGATGAGACTCTAACAATTACAATTGACGTGGTGCTAAGACACTTTAGCGGGTGCTTTTGGCGAACTCCTCAGGCACCTTTAGCGAGGGCCTAAGGGAAAGTTCATGATTAGATAGACATAGTCACCATCTCTAGTTGGGTGTGAATGAAGCTCTCTTATTGGGTAGACGAACAACTTCTGTAGAGAGTACTCTTAGGACGAGTAGTCCTCCTTGCTCTTGTGCTTTTGAGGTAAGTCTACTTGAGGTGAGCGCTCCAATTGGGTGAGTTCTTATGAGGCAAGTGCCCCTTTGGCTAGGACGAGTGTACTTTAAGTGAATCCCCCATAATTGGGCTGAGTGCGAAGAGTTTTCCTTATCTCCTTTGATTCCTCTACTAGCTTGTTTGATCACCATGATTTGTTTAGATTCACATACTTGGTGTGTCTGAGCTTAGCTTTGCTCAAACCAAGTCTTTGAGATATTTAGCTGCACAAAGATATAGTAATTATTTCAAAAATAAAATTTTAATTATTTTGGCCATTATTATACATTTTTGGATTGAAAATATATATTTGAGGAAATAAAATTGAATTGGTTGTTTGAATACGTCTTAACATGACAATCCTTCCCAAGGCCACTTATAAACTTTAATGATATTGCATTAGAACAAATTAGCACAAATTTCGACTTTGTACTAACAAAGTGAGATTAGCAATTATTACAAAGATGATTTTTGAGATTTGATGGGAGATTCTTACTCATGTAACAAACATTTGAATTGATTGTGAACATATATAGAGGTCGAGAAAGACGATATTACTATCATTTTTTATAAAGTTTTTTAAAATTAAATAAACGACAATGCTTCTATTAAATTTATAGGGTTTTGAAAATTTTAATGTTTGGTGGAATAAAAAAGAAATGTAGTGTAAAGTATTGTAAATATTGTGCTAAATATTTGAGTTTATTTTCGTCCAGTTATAAGAGAAGAATTTTCACCTTTACCAAGGTATCTTGTCATCACCTGCCATTGGTTGTCGACCATCGCTACCTAGTGCTATTGGGCGCCCTCCACTGCCAGCCATAGCCATCCACTGTTGGCCACTATTGGCCACCAACTGTAGTCATCTTTGCATTTTAAACTACATTTATTTTACTTCAAGAAAAAAAATCTCTTTATTTTTATTTACATTCATCTAAACAACTTCAAACATTTAAATATATTATATTTCTTTTACATTGCATTCATTTTACTTAACTTAAAATAAAATATATTTTTTATATACACAAATATTAATATTATTTAAAATTTAAAATGATGCAATTAAATATAAAAATTCAAAAGTTAAGTATGCAAACACCGATTTTATAATATGTATGTAGATCCCCAAAAATAAACGAAGCGTTGAAGCGAAGGAAACTTACTTCTTTTAGCCATTTCGTCGAGCATTTCGCAGAGGGAAGCTAAAATTGGGGTGACAAATTAAGATTATTAGGAGAGGAAGAGGTGGTAGGAAGGAAAGAAGGGTTGAGAGAAATCTGGCAAACATTGGAGTATTGCGGGCTAGGAAGCAAGGGAGCAATTTTGGGGGTGAGGACGAGGAGGATTGCAGACCTTGGCGTCGCAGATTGTCGTCGATGGCTGTCTCCTGGTCCTCTCTCTTCCGGATTTCTCTCCTTTTCCTCCTCCTCGCCGCCGTTGTCACGGCCTTCGTGACCCTCCCAATAGAAAAGGTAATGAATTTAAATTCCTTTTTTTTTTGTATGCGATCCGGATGTCGTATGTGATGTTTAATAAATTCCGTGGTTTAGTGAGTAAATACTTTTTGGCAGTGTGAAGTGGTTGGCTTGTTGTGGGATGATTAGGTTCGCTGACGCTTTTGAGACTTGGCGGTTATCTGCGACGTCTAACTTTTTCTCATTGTCTTAAGCGTGGGGGGAGTTTTTTGATGGAGAATATCTTGATGTTTTTTCCAATGAGTTTTTTCAGCTAGGAATTGGTTATATGCTAGAATTATATTTATCAGTTCATTCATATTACTGTATTTGATGTAGTTAAATTCATAAATTTTACTATGAGCTTCGTGAAATTTTTGCCCGCTTATGAAATGTTTGATTTGACATGAAAGTCCACAAGTTATTGAATTTTAGTTCTAGAACTTAATGCATTTTTTTGAGAATTACTTACTTGATCAATTAATTACTAAGAAAGTAGGGAAATTTGACTTTTTATCGCTCATATTGTACCTATTTTGACTAATTTTTCTATTATATTTTTATTTGGGTAAATATTCTTCAAAATATTATTTTTGGATCAAAACCCCTCTATGACGGATAACCCTTTATATTCATGGATATTCATTAACATTTAAGTTGAATAATCTACTTTATCAAAATGAATTATTTTTTTTTTATTGACATTAAATTTTCTGTTGGTTAACTTAAATTAACTTGTTTGTCATACTAATAGTTGAGTATTTGGCTATTTGCAGTGAATGAACCATTTAAGGATCTCAGACTGATATGATTGGTTCAAACCTGGTTCAAATGATATTTTTTTGTATGCCTAGATTTGAATTGCAATGCTTTATACTATTTGTTATTCGTATAAGCTATTGGCTTCAACTACCAATGTTGTCTGATACTTGAAGCTGAACAATGAGCATGTGATTACAACTAAGATTCGATGGATTTGTTGTTTTCATCCATCATTTCCTTGAAATTTGTATTGGAGGTTTAATAAACTTTTGAACATTGAGCATGTTGAATCGTGGCACTAATAAACTTTTTATCCATTAGCCTTTTTAAATCATTATAGCTAATTAAAAAATTAGGAATTAATAAAAAATTTAAGAGCCTTAATAAACTTTTGAGCTTGTGAACTTCCAAACCCTCTAGGTTCAAACCAGTTAAGATTTAACTCGTGAAGTTGCAAACCCTTCAACTTCAAACCAAAAGTCTCAACTTGGACGTATTAAAAATAGTGAAAATTGGACTTTGTAGCTCAAATTAGCTCCTCTCCATAGCAATACAAGTTAATTAAAAATTCATCGATTATAAATACTAAAATATTAGTCTACAAAACTAGTTTCTTAAGTTGGACTTGAGGATTTCAATGTCGATTAGGAATGAGTATTAACCTTGACTCATCATAAATTTAATGAATATCTGCAAATATAGGGGGTTATCCCTCATTAGGGGTATTTTGGTCCAAAAAGCATTTTGGAGATTGCACAAATAACAATATAATTGAGTTATTTGTACAAATTAGTGCATTTTGAGTGACAAATAGTCAGCTTTGCCATAAAGTATTAGTATAGTAATTGTAAATACTATAATATTAGTATGCATTTATTTATGATCAAGTATGAAATTATTTTATTAAATAAGTTTGGAAAATATTAAGTAAAGATTAAAACATTAATTTAATGGACACTTTATGAAACTTATAGCCTACTAAACATTGGAACAGAATTTACAATAAGTGAGTACATTAAGAAAGGAAAAATAAAACGCCACTTAAAAATTCAATTTGATGAAGCTTATTTTTGCAGCTTTTGTTCAACCACTTGCAAAAACATATTTTTAACAAACTGGCCTCAGGGACCTTAATTGTAGGGGTAAATATGAAACCACAGTGTACTCAATTATATGCTTTTTATTATAAAAATGTTATAGGAAATGTAGGTTTATTGTAGGATGGGTCCATTTTAATCTCCGTTTTTGTCTTTTAGTTTAGATCATATTCATTTTGGGTTAGTAAATTGTTGGCATTGAGTTATTGAACCTTAGTTTAACATTTATTCTTCATTCTTACATCCGAGCTTATGCTTTTGTATCAACTTCTCACCTATCTATCAAAGTCTTGAGTTTACGTTTTAGTAGAAATGGTCAATGCTTTCCTTAGTTTTAGCTTGTAAAGTGCAACTTGTTTGTGTTAAGGGCTCTGCCAGAATGTAAAGTTAAAAAGTCATTGGGTACCTGGGTTCAATAGAGTAACAGGTCACTATCTGTTAGCATGGTTTGGATCTTGAAAGGTTTTGTGACTGTCATTCTAAAAAATGAAGTTTATTATTATTATTTTTCTTTTAAGCTTCATTTTCTATATGAATAATGATAATGTTAAGATGTACATGTGCTGAAATTAGGAGATAAAGTGGCAAGAGAATGTAAATAGAGGCTGTGATAGCAACATGGTACAAGATTGTAGAAAATAGATTGATATTTGGGCATTTATTAAAAGCAATAAAATGTGCAATTAAGTCAGCTAAGATTGAATCGGGTATGCAAAGGAAAAAATGAGTAAACCAATGGTAATTTAACTATACGCTATGAATGAAAAGTTGCATCAAGTAAAGTTAACACCAAAAATACATTTGATAAGTTAATGGAGAGGAAGGATTTATAAATCTGATACCAAATTTTTGGTATTAAACCTAATGATGTTCTTTGTGCGTGATTAGGAAGTGGTCTTTCGGTTAGGATATATTTCTAGCTAAGGGTCTAGCATGGTGAAAAATATACATAAAAACAAGTAGAATTAATTTAATTCAATACTTACACAATGCTAGTTTTCTCCGACATGACATGATACATCTATAAAAGTAAATGAGAACATAGAGAAAATAATGTTTAAAAATGTTATAATGAAAAGAAAATTGAGCATGCTATAACAAGCAGATCCAGCACTAAATTGACGATGACTTGAAATGCTTTTTTTTTTCCAAAAAAGTAGTAAATTATACCTTATGGAATCAGGTTTTCATGAATTAAATTTTAGTAGAATGAGGTAATAGTATCTACCTTCAAACTTATTATCTAGAGAGAGAATAGTTGAGGATGTCGTTGAACAAGCATAATAAGTTTAATATATCGATTTCCATAAAATGATCAAAGGAGAAGGAATTTACCAAATTGTGAGTTAGAAATTATTTTACTTACAAATCAATTCATTATATGGTGATTATAATGTCAAATGGGCAAGAGATGTTAGTAACATTTTTGTAATGTAATAGTCAAATCTTCCTTTAGCTCTGAAAATCAGAAAGAATCTATCTTAAATACTTGACTATATAAGGTTGAGGGATGTAAAGGAAGGGGCTTATATTTCGTAATACAGCACTATTCGTTTATCAGTACAAAGAACTTGTGAAAACACAAGACGTCATTTTTATTCTCACTAAGAATGTCATCTCGCTAGGGTATTTGTACTTCCAAAGACCTGATTTAAGGGGACTCTTCCATTGAGATTTATTTTACACTACACCATTATCTTCTTGTCTTAATTTACATATGGTAGACTTGTGCATTTCGATGCTTTCAATTAGGGGCTATATATTTGGTAAGAGTAAAATGTGTATGTTTAGACATGTTACTTGAGAATAATTTCTTTGAATTTAACACAAATATATTTTTTGAACTTTATCTTCACTTCATCTTTTGTTTGAAGCAAATATGTGCGGGCTTCAGTAAATATTTTGGTACTTTGAAGTTCATCTCTATATTGGATGTACTTTGCGGTTGTGACCTTGATAGATTTTTTTGGTGCTAAGTTGTAATTTCTTTCTGGTAATTTTATGCATTTGTGCTTGATCATTGCTGAGATGATATTTGAGTTTTCTGAATAATTCTCTAATAGTTAAGTTGTGCTGGTCATGGCTCACATTTTTTGTACTAAATGTTTCTAATATATGTTTCTTAATGCAGATATTAAAGGACTTTTTGGTGTGGATTCAGGATAATCTAGGGCCATGGGGTCCTGTTGTTCTGTGAGTAATAGTTGCTTATTCTTTTTTCTGCAGAATACTTGTTTCACATTTTATTAATTGGTCAATGACTTTGGTTAATAGTTCTTATTCAAGTTTTCTAATGAGCGACTTTAGATTTGCATCACCTATTCCTGGAAACAACCTTTTTGATTATTCTATGTATTTTTGAAGTTCAAATTGCTACTTTTATATGCACTTAGTTTTCTATTTATTTTATGTTGTTATTATCATTGAAGATAATAGTGCTTCATAATAATTGTCTTCTTGAAGTTTTGTTTTTATGACAACTTGAGAGTTTCATAATGCAACTTGTTTTTTTAGATATTATGGTTTCCTTGTAAAGAAGACTTCATTTCTAATCTTCATGGCAAATTGCTAGAGATCTTGAAGTTGTGCACTTCACATTTTCATCTGTAATATATATTAAGACCATGGTGTAGATGAGCTTAACTTTTGCCAAAGTGGAGGCATATTTTATGCTAACTTATTTCCTAATAAATTTTAATTGTGAGATTTGGCTCTTCGGCATACAAAACTATTTCATAATGCTCTACTTGATTTGTTACTATTATGATCCAAAACCTTTGTTGCATGAAAATAAGGATCTTAATTCTGTTTCTTTTTTTTATTTTATTTATTTCTCAATATGCTGTTCTTTTTTTGAAAAGTTACATTGAAGGTTGACGTGTTGTTGGTCACAGGGCAATTTCATATATACCATTGTCCGTTCTAGCTGTTCCAGCTTCCATACTAACTGTAAGTGACCTGCTTGTTTTTTAACAGATTATAAAGCATATTGTTGTAATATATGTCTTTTTTTCAATTCTTTTAATGTTTTTTCTTACAATCTACTGAGTAAACAATTTTTTTACCATATTTTCTGATCTTTGACTTTTACCAACCTCATATTATTCAGAAGGTTTTCTAGATTATGTCACACTTGGTTAGATTCTTGTGTTTTTTCTTATATATATGAGCTGATCTTCTTGAGTGTTCAAATTTTGTCTATGAAACTAAAATTATGATAAGAACTTGGATATAAGTTTCCTAACAGGCAAATTAATGAAATTAATAGATATTATGATTCATAGGAAGATAAATATTTTATGCATTCAAGAAACTAAATGAGTTGGAGAGAAAGCTAAGGAGATTGATAGTTTAGGTTTTAAACTATGGTATTCTAGTAAAAAAGTCCTATTAGAAATGATGTATGTGTGATTATAAATAAGAGTTTGAAGGATAATATTGTAAAAATTAATAGAATTGGAGATAGAATTATAGTTTTAAAATTTATTGTTGATTATTAATATTAGATGTGCTTATGCTCCTTAAGTAGGTTTGAATATGAGATCAAAATTAAAATTTTGAAACGACTTAGAAGAATTAATACAAAAGATACCTCTTAAAAAAATTTTATTGGAGGATATTTAAATGGACATGTTAGTAGAGAGGTAGATGATTTAAAAAGTATTCATGGTGTCTATGAGTTTGGAACAACTAATGAAGGTGGTTAGACAATATTAATTTTTTTTTAGTTTATGATTTTGTAATTGCTAATATTTTATTTAAGAAAAGAGATGAGCATCTCATCATTTATAAGAATGGTCATAGTAAAATTTAGATTGATTATTTTCTTATAAGAAAAATAGATCGTTTAGATTGCAAAGATTATAAAATTATTCTGAGTGAAAGTTTATGTACCAAACATAGCTTATTAGTTTTGAAATTTAAAATGAAGGGTTAGAAAATAAAAAATAAAGTAAAAAATTATTCTAGGATAAGATGGGGGCTTTTAAAGAATATTTACAAAAATATTTTTGAGAGCAAAATACTAGATCTTAAGATTTTATCTATGCATAAGGAAGCTGATGTTATGTGGAAAAATATAGCTACTGATATTAAGAATGTTACAAAAGATGTGCTTGGAGTATCAAACAAAAAAGCTCCTAATATTAAAAATAGTTTGCAGTGTAATCAAACTGTGCAAGAAAAGATAAAAAATAAGAATATTTGTTATAAAAAGTAGTTTTGATGTAAAAATTCTGATAATTGAGAAATATATAAAGACGCCTGTAAGGAGTTTAAGAAAACAATATGCGATGTAAAGATTTTAGCTTTTAATGATTTATATAATAGATTAGATACTAAAGATGACAAAAGATATATGTATAAGTTTGCCAAACAAGAAAATGATAGTTGTAAAGATTTAGTTTAAGTGAAGTGTATTAAGGATGACGATCAAAAAGCACTTTTTTTTAGAAGAGAATATTCAACAAAGATAAATAAGATATTTTTTCTAAACTTTTCGATGAAGATTATGAGAATGCGATTGACTTTAGTGACCTTGGAACTCTAAATGAAAATAAATATTTTTGTTTTTATCAATGTATTAGTAAATTTGAAGTTAGAGAGGCTTTAAAGAAAATGAAGTTTGTAAAAGTTGTTGAATCTGATGATATTCTAATAGAGGTATAGAAATACTTAGGAGATGAAGGAATTTCTTGGCTTACTAAACTTTTTAATATTATTTTAAAGACCAAAAAGAAGTCAGATGAGTGGAAATGAGTGTGTTGATTCCTATTTTTAAGAATAAAGGTGATGCACAAGCAAATTATTGAGATATTAAGATAATGTGTCATACTTTAAAACTATGAGAGAGAGTTATGGTGCATAGGTTGTGGCGTGATACTAATGTTTCTCATAATCAATTTGGATTTATGCCGGGTAGGTCTACTATGGAAGCTATACATTTATTGAGAGATTTGATGGAGAAGTATAGAAAGAATAAGAAAGATCTACATATGATATTTATTGATTTAGAGAAAGCATATATATAATATATATATATATAATATATATATATATATATATTATATATACTATTGTGTTAAAAAAAGTGCTATGAGAGTTCTAGAAAAGAAGAAGGTTAAAATGTTTACATTCAAGTCATTAAGGATATGTATGCATGAGCTATTTCTTGTGTAAAACCACAAGGTGGTTTGACCAAGTATTTTCCTTTTTACAGTATGGATATACAATTGCAGTTCAACCTTAAGCCCATATCTTTTTTGCTTTAGTCATGGATGTTCTCACTACACATTTGCAAGAGGTTGTACCCTGGTGTATGTTTTTTGTTTAGTATATTCTTCTTGTTGATAAGACTAGAGACGGAGTTGAAGGTAAACTTGAATTGTGGAGGTCAACCTTAGAGTCTAAAGGCATTCGTTTGAGTAGATCTAAAATTGAATATATGGAGTGCAATTTTAGTAATAATAGATCTAGTGGATGGATTGTGCCTTTGGGTGATGAAACCATTAATAAGAGTACATATTTTTGATATCTTAGGTCAATTGTTCATAGTTTAGGTCAAATAGATAGGGATATTATTAGTAGAATTCAAGTTAGATGGTTGAAGTAGATGAATACATTAGGCTTGTTGTGTGATAGAAAAGTCCCCATCAAACTTAAGGAAAAATTTTATAAGATGGTGGTTAGAACTGCAATACTTTATGGTGCAGAATATTGGCCATTAAAAGAGAAGCATAATATTAAGTGTTGCATAGATGAGGATGCTCAGGTGGATGAGTGGCTTTACTCTTAGAGACAAGATACGAAATGAGCATATACGTGAAAAGGTTGGAGTAGCTCCAATGGAAGATTAGATTAGAGAGAGTCATCTTAGATGGTTTGGTCACATAAAGTAAATGAGCCGGTTAGGAAAGTAGTGTATTTGAGTTGACTTATGTTAAGAAAGGTAGAGGTATACCTAAAAAGACTTGGTTAGCAAATATTAAAAATGACATTTCTTTATTAGATTTAAATGAGAATTTAACTCTTAACTTATCACAATGGAGAAAAATGATTCATGTAGCTAACCCCACAGTGGGATAAACTGTTGTTGTTGTTGATGTTGCTGCTACATCTTTTGCTTCAACTCAAATACTAGGGAATTTTCTACTTTTAGCTGCTTAGAAGTGCAAGTTATGTTAATTTGATGTTTTTGATGAATTCTACTCTTGTTGCACTTACCCCATCCTTTTTGTCTAAGGAATTTTGCGTTAATTATTACCATGCTTACACTGGTTTCTTTTGTTGTCTTATAAAATTGTATATATTCACGCTTCGCCAGTCATTAAGATTGGACATTCTTGTGTCAATATTTATAGTTAAAAAACTTGAATTACCTACCTTTGACTTAGGATATTATCCATACGCTATAGTCTCCTAGTTGGTAGTAATCATGCTAGCTTAAAATGACTTGTTATCTACGAGTGAAACCTATTCGTGCTTCTCTTAGCAAAATAAAGGAAACTCGTAGGCGATGCTTGCGATGTAGGATGTAAGCCCTGTGCACGCTTTTCTTAACATGACGGGGAAATTCAAATCTAAGCACTCGACTATTCGTGAGCATTGTTTTAACATAGCGCGCGGGGGGGGGGGTGGTTATTGAAGAGAGAGTTGTTGACATTAAATGCATTAGGGTTTAAAAGTTCGAGGAGGATGTTGCTAGAGAAAGTTGTCGCATAAAATTTCTCCATCCATTTTTTTTATTTACCCGATTCTAGCTCTACATCAACTTCCTTTATTCCTCAACTAAATAAATTAAATTAGAGTTGAAGTTCCTGAATTCCAAGGATTTCTGAATTGCCTCCCATTGTTGGATCTGCAACCTGAACCAAGTATGCAAAAAGCAACTCAACAAAGTTTTTCGGCTTTACTACAAGCTACAATCACCTACGTCATGTATCTAATCAGCCACAAATTCACAAACACATAATCCATTGACGCTTAACCCACCCATCGTCCCACTACATCAAATGCATGTCTACAACATGAAGAGCAAGATCATCTATCATAGCATCCCCACCAATAACAAGAAGTCATACAAACCCACCAAGTTTCACTGAGGCTAAAAAAAGAATTTACTACAAGCATCTTAATGAATGAACTCTTAAAATAAAGTGAGTCATGAGACTGTGATGAATGACTAATTAGGAAACCTTAGAAAAGAGAACCAATCGTAAGAAGGGAAACCAAAAGAAAAGCTTTCTTTAATTCATCTTAAACTCTTAATGAATCACAAAGCTCTAGATATTATTTATAGAAATAGGCCTTATTGAAAATTAAAATCTACTTTGGAATAATATATAAATGACAATTAAAAACAACATAAAATAATTGAATAAATATTTGGCACAAATAAGACTTAATATTGATAGCTAAGGGAAGCATCTTGCACTGCACCATCATGCTTTTGTCATCACTAGAATTATATCATTTTGCAGGTAGTATGTACCATGCTATTCACCTTGAATATCATTCTATTAGCATTTGTGAATTTCAATGGAAACACGGCACTTCTTTGATACCAATGGTATCATTTAGTTTAGATGACCTTTCGTTGTGTAATTTCTTCCTTGTGATATTACTTTGATATAAATTTGTTTATTATTCTTCATTAAGTTTAGCGTCTTCATATCTGCGGTTTGCTGTTAGAAATTTGAAATTTGCAGTATATTATTACTAAAATCACATGGCCTGATCTATCAAAGTTATGGTGGCTCATTGGCTCATAGTTTTGAAACTTGTTTGCATTTCAGCTTGGTGGAGGATATTTGTTTGGATTGCCTCTAGGTTTTGTTGCTGACTCTCTTGGAGGCACTTTTGGTGCGACCGCCGCTTTCTTGCTTGGTAGAACAGTATGTAAATGACACTTTGGCTTTACTGGCTTATATATTCAGAATTTTTTGATTATTTCTAGCAAAGCTACTCTTGATCGTGTCACAGCTATTTAGTCTATAGCTTCTTAGCCTTTATCTTATCCGTTGTTTAACTTTGCCATAGCTTTATCAGGCATGCAATAGAGCTTATTGTTGAAGGCCAGTTTAGCAGTTATATTTTTCAGCCTTTATTATTTATGTCTACATGAGTTGAATGTTGCACGTTGTTGCTTCTTCCATCTGAAACATAGTCCATTTTTCTGGCTAATTGAGTTCAGTATTTGTGTTATGTGCTTCAAACAAGATGCGCGTGGACTTAAATTGACATGCATAGAACGCTAAATTTGATCTGCCAGAGCCTTGTCATCTTATATTTCTTGTACATAGAGAAATGAATAATCATTATGTGGGAAGTTATTAAATGCCTTTTTGATTAGGAAAACATGCAAAACTCAACATTTTTTAGTGAAATTCGAGCTTGTCTGGACTAACTGGTATGGTGTAAAGAAAAGACAATGTTTAGGGCTCATTTGGATGTTTATGGTCAATTTACTATATTTTGTCATTTGGCTGGAAGTCCGAAATCAATATGATTTTAAACTCTATAAACAGCTTCAAAATGCCTAAAAATGATAATTTCTTTTTCACACATAAAATGAGTCAAAATAATTTATTGGTTTCTAAGACACTTTCTACGTACAAGCAATTAAATGAGGCCTTTGGTCAGAGTGGATCCATAGTTTTGCTGGCTTTTCTCACAAAGGAGGTTATTAATTAAGTAATATAATCATAAATAAGACACTCAAAATATTTATATGTAAAGTAGGATTAAAAACCAGAAAAGTGCTGCGAATTAATGTTTGTTTTCTCATCACTTTTCTCCTAAAATTGAATAAAAACATATTTGCAATTAAATGGCCACATTAAAAAATTTAATGTGCTTTAATAAGCTGGAAATTAATATGATTTTAAAGCTTTTTCTTGTTGTTCCTTATCTTTAGAAAGCAAGGAGAATATCGAGAGATATTTTGTTTGCTCCATTGTGACTTAGAGGTTTGGATCACATCTTTGTAATGTAGTGGCTAAGTGATGCATTGGGCACAACTTTTTAATCCTATTTTTTAAAAACAAGCAATGGACAAATTGACCTGTTTTCTATGAAGCATACTTTTGTAATATATTTGTTTACTCATTCATTTATCTCTCCAAAATTGGTTTGTTGTGCATACTTAAACTAGGAATATGAATGCGCAGTTAGAGGTTAAACTCAACCCTAAATACTCATGATTTTTAGCCTTGTAATAAAAAAAATGGAAATAAATTTATAACATAATTATCAAAATAATCATTAGCTTTATTCCAACTACTTGGGATTTGTTTTAAGAATCATAATTCTCAAGTCATTTCTATTAAATGTTGCATGAGGTACTACTATTGATTAACCTCTCCGTGTAACTTCTATTCACTTTATCTTTGAGCTACCCTTCTTCTTTCTTAATCCTTCAAATTTAATTCTATATGCTTGTTATGAGTTTCTATCTTTTGTTATACACTCCAAACCACCTAAACCTATTTTCAGCAATTTATTTTTAATATATTCTACTTCCACTATCCCTCAATTAGTCCACAGTCTACACTTTTAAGTTTTGTCACACATCCATTTTTAACAGTCATTTATCTTAGATGTTATAAAATATTAGAATCTTTATGCATATTTGTTGTCATTATACTGTAAGTTATTATTAGGTCTGTCACTTTACCTGGTAATTTGAGAACTGACCCAAGACTAATGCAACCATCTAATTTGCCTAAGTCCTTTGATGTTTGTTATAAGCTCGTTTTCTTTTCTGTTAAACGGATACCACTTAGTTATTTGTTCTCGGGTTCACTCTGTCATGGCCAACTCACGCAGGCCAGGGACAGTTTTTTTTCCTAAGAGTGAACACATGTCTGAACTAAGCGGTTTGTGTCTCAACTAAGCTTGAAGCTATAAGCTAGACTCAATTTCATGTAAGAAAAAAAAAAAAACCCCTTAAAATTACTAACCCAATAAAGTATGGTATAGTTATTTTTACCACTAACAAATTATATGCATAGTATATTACAAGTGCCAGTTTAAGTGAATTAATTACCTGAAAACTGTTGCCAGCTATGGCCAGTTTCAGTTTGAGTTAGTTCAGCTCCATTTTTATTTCAATATTTATGTAATTACTGTAAATCAACCAATGTTGATATGAATCACTCACCCCTTGTTTATTTTCATTTGGAATGCTTAGAACCGAACATCTCAGTAGCATATATAGAGTAACTATGAGAAGACACAAAGTACAAAACCACCCTATCATTCAATTGAAAGAAAGAATGTGGATGCCAATTATTTCTACTTTCACGTTTCGGTCACTTAGACTATTAAAATACATATTGGGGTGGGTGGTTATTCAACCAAACGATCACATGTTTCCTTTGGAACTCCTGTATGGATGACACACAACAATATTTTAAACTAAGACTCGCAGCATCGTTTGGTCGATGTATGTAATGGATGGTGATGGTGGCGTGTTTAATATGATATATATCACCAAATTACAATTTAGTGTCAATAAAATTGCAATAGATTGCTCTTTAAAGAAACTTGAAGAATTGAAACACATTGAAAGCATCTTCGATATTTATGAGAAGATTGAAAGCACCAACACTGTAACATTTAATTGAAAATTATATGCTAAGTTTCTCTTTCTCTTATAATTTTTTAAAGTAGATTTCAAGGTTTGTGTTTAAATAATTCCTTTAAAAGTTCCGTGAGGACCATTCCACCCTTATATGGGCACTTGAACATTTGTTTACTATAGTTTATAAATTTTTGTTTGATAATAATAGTTGTGGTGGCAGTGTAGATGTGGCTGTAAGGAAAATACCATTGCCTTTCACCACCACGAACAACTTTCTTCTTGCCTGTACCCATTGCCCTTCTTCCCCGTTGAATGGAAAAAGATGAGAAAAAACATTGCTATACTTGCTCTTTCAATATAAATCAAGTATAGAAAAGTGGAAGAAAATCATTTTCTTCTTTTTTTTTTCTAAGAACCTTTGGCTTACCAAATAAAAATAATCGTAATAGATATCAGGAAATTGTATTTACTTTCCCTTTTATAGGTATAGCATTTGAAATTATAATGTTTATCATCTCTTGCCAAAATGACTTGACTAGCATCCATTCTCTTTGAAGTAGGCTCATTGCATTTATTTGAATAGTTTTCTAAATTTTTGTCATTCCATTATTTCCATTTGTTTTCATATTGATCTTAAAGTGTATATTTCATAGTGAGTTTTGCTTTTGGATTTGATTGTAAAACATCCTTATTGAGGGTAACCACTTGTACAAAGTGAATGATATAGGCTTTGGTTACACCAATCTTGGTAGTTTTCCTCCAAAGCCTTTTTTTTCTTAATGAGAGTAAGGGGCTGTTTGGTTTTCTTAAAAAGGAATGTAAAACATTTTAAATATTGGGGATTTAAAAATTTTGGTGTTTGTTTTATGAAAAAGTAATGTAGAGTAAAATTTTGATGAATTCCTTTTTCATTCTATTGTTCATTTTTAATGTATTTTAAACTTGTTTTCGATTGAATTTCAAAATACACCTCAAGTTGACTCTACCAATTACTGCCCCCCTCCCCAGGCTGCCATCCACAATTATTGTTCATAGCTGCGGCCATGGCCGCCCATTGCCGTCTTCCCTTAACAACTTTCACCGGCTACCAACAACCATCACCATCATTGGGCATTAAATTGTATTCATTTTACTTCAAGCCAAAAAAATAAAAAAAGTGATCGCCTGCATTTATTTTACATTCATCCAAACAACTCCAAATATTTTAATTACATTTCATTCTATAAAACTATATTCTATTTTAGTTTGCATTCCTTTTTTAGCGAAAGAGTCCCTTAAGTAAAAGATTTTGTATTTTTGTCATAAGCAGAACCAGGTTCATTTGTGATGCATAAAAATGCACATATTTGGCCAATGCAGTGATATTGATTGACTTACAGTTTGAGATCTTTGAGTTTCATTCATCCTTATATTATTATTTCTAGAAAATTGGTGTTAATGCTTTCTCATCACATTACTGGTTTATGTTCTAAAATTATTGCTTTGCAGATTGGTAGGCCTTATGTTATATCCAAGCTTAAGGATTACCCAAAGTTTCAGGCTGTTGCTATTGCAATTCAGAGATCTGGTTTTAAGGTTTGGAGTTTCGTGGCTTATCCTCTTGTTTACTGGTTCTAATTGTTGGAGGATATTTTATTCCTGATTGAATCTTATTGATCCCCTTAAGAAAGAAAATATCTTGGATTATTGAGATTCTGACCATAATAGTTGCTCATGAATATCAACATATTGTTGTATTGTTTCATCATTTTAATTGGTTAACTATAATTTATGTTACTCCTTTTCCAGTTAAATTTTATGTGCTGACATATTTTTTTATGCAAGGAAAAAATGTTGTTTATATCTGTAAGAGTTATGGTTGTTTGATTAAAAATTGTTCTGACATTTCTACTTTTTAATAAAATGACTTAAAAAATACATTAGCTCTCATATGTCACGACACAACAGAACAATGCTGAAAAAATCCTTAGTCTTTAATAAAATAAATAAATTAATAATTAAAAAGATTGGAAAACTAAATTCCGTAGAAGCTGTTTTCTTGGAAGCAATCTAAAGTATCATTAGATGAAAGTGTCTTTTTAGTTTTCATACAAGTGGATTTATCTCCATGAATATTACATCCAACATTTAATATCTTTTATTGTGGGGAGGAGTTTCTAGGGGAGCAAGAGCTCTTTTAGTAGATACAAATGACAAGTAGGTGACAAGAAACAAAGAGAGGGCAAGGGGGAGGTGAGAGATGGATGACCAGAGAGAGAAACAACACATGGGAACATCCATTGCGTCACCATTCTTTGTGCAAATCTTCGACTTGTTGATCTTGATGTCATCATCATCGAAAATCAATCACATTATCTTGCCCTCGTTGATGCTTCAGGCTAGTTCAATTCAGTTCTCAAGGTTTTCAGGTCAATGTTCTTTATATCCTACATGCGTCAATACCAGTGATATATGATGTCACCTCACCCTCTCATTGATCTCTATAACCCCTTCTTCTCATATTCTCCGTAGTTTCCAGTTCCACTTTTAAGTTCAGCCTCAACCAACCAAAACCTGTCCATCCTGCCCCTTGCATATCAAAACCTCTCCATCTCCTATGTGACTTGGTTTTTTCCCAATCACAAACTTGTCTAAAATGGTTCTATAACTACTGAAACTATGAACAATTGCTAATAAAACTAGGAGTCTATTTGGTTAAATGTTATTTAGATAATACTATTATCTAGATATTAATGCTATTTTGATCATAATATTATCCTTCAAATGTGGTGTATTTAGTTTAATGTCTTCTTACTTAAGAAAAAAAATGTTTTTTTAGAATAATTAATGGTGATAATATCTTTCTTGTTTCACCTTTTTTTTTTAAACACTTAAGATTGAGGAAATTCAGATAGTATCCATTTTGGCCGCTGTTTAGTTTATCTTAATCTTGATTACTCATGTTCTTGTGAAAGATAATATAAATCAAACCTCATTTATCATAAATAACATAACATTACATGAAAAAAAATATACCAAACAACTTTTAAGATTCATTGCTCCAGGAATGCTCCCTTGAACTACATAATGGTGGTTCAACTGAGATTAGCTTCATTGAGAACCTGTGTATGCTTTGCCTTATTGCGAGGCCTTCCTTATCTATTAGCTTTAGTAGAAAGGCACTTGGGCAACAAGTAAGAATCTTTCTTTTTAGTTCATTCGAGGAACTTGAAAAACATTTTGAGTGGTGATCCAACTAAGGAAAATCTTCGTGTATGGAGCATGGGAGTTCTGTGTGACTTAGTAGGAACTATTATTACTTATTTAGCAATTGCTCGTGTGATGACATTCATGTTGCTTCCACCTTACATAGTTATCCAACACTTGTAGTAATGCAATATAATAAATTAGGCTTTGAATTTATTTTTATTTAAATTGGGAGATTATATTTATCATAATTAATTTATGTTTGATTATCCTTTTAGATATTTTTATGTTAGTTTGGATAAGGATACACTTCATAAATATTTCAATCTTGACAGGTAGGAACTATTATTACTTATTTAGCAATTGCTCGTGTGATGACATTCATGTTGCTTCCACCTTACATAGTTATCCAACACTTGTAGTAATGCAATATAATAAATTAGGCTTTGAATTTATTTTTATTAAATTGGGAGATTATATTTATCATAATTAATTTATGTTTGATTATCCTTTTAGATATTTTTATGTTAGTTTGGATAAGGATACACTTCATAAATATTTCAATCTTGACAGGTAGACTTTAGGCATTTAGGGCTTTAGATGGTCGGCACTGTAGAAATGCTTCCTAGCCCTAGCATTAGGTTAATGTTCATAACGCTTGTTATTCAAGGCTTTTTGATGTGCATGATCTAAAATTTTTGGAGCATATTAATTGAGGTCTACACATTAATGCATCTAAATATAACTCTTTAGGGAGACTAAAATGAGTGACATATTCTTCAGATTTATTCAAGTTTTCTATTATAATTTTTTCATAGTACATGTTTTATATATCTTGGGTCTATTGTTTAGAGTGATAGTGAAATAGATGAGGTATTATTAGTAGAATTCAGTTGGATGGTTGAAGTGGAGGAATGCATCGGGTTTGTTGTGTGCTAGAAAAGTCCCCCTCAAACTTAAGTGAAAATTCTATAAGATGGTGGTGAGACTTGCAATGCTTTATGGTGTTGAATGTTGGCCATTAAAAGAGAAGCATAATATTAACTTAAGTTTTGCGAATGTGAGGATGCTCAAGTGGATGAGTCGCTTTACTCTTAAAGATAAGATACAAAATGAGCATATACTTCAAAGGGTTGGAGCAGCTCCAGTGGAAGATAAGATTAGAGAGCGTCTCCTTAGATATTTTGGTCGCATAAAACGACGGTGTTCCAATGAACTGGTTAGAAAAGTAGATGTATTAAATTTGGCTTATGTTAAGAAAGGTAGAGGTAGATCTAAAAAGACTTAGATAGAAAATATTAGAAATGACGTTTCTTTATTAGATTTAAATGAGAATTTGACTCTTAACATGACACAATGGAGAAAAAAGGATTCGTGTAGCTGATGTAGACAAAGGGGGGTCAACTTATGTCCAAAATAAATCAATTTTGGCCTCCCTCGAGTTTACAAGCTCAATAAAAATTGAGCTGAAATTTTAGCTCATTTATGAGCTAGTCTTTAGTTCATTTATTGAACTAAGGGTTAGCTCATTATTAGCTATGATTTTAGTTCATATTTATCTTATATTAAATGTACTTTTTATGCTTTTTATGTTTTTAATTATGTAGGTCTCTTGGAATTCCAAACCGGCTTTTGGAATTCCAAGAAATGTCTTTTCCCATGCGGTGGCTCCTTGGCTTCCTCCCTTGGGCTGCTGTTTTCCGTGCCTCGCCTATTGGATTTCTGGCCGGCTGCTGGTTTTCCGCGCCTGGGCTCTTTTCCCGGGCTTCGGCGCCGCCCTTGGGTTCCGGCGGTCTCCTTGGCTCCGCGTGAGTTGCCTCTTCGGTTCCTTGGCTTGGGCTGTTTTTTTTTTTTGATGAAAAGTATTTGGGTTTAATGCTAAGTCTTTTAGAATTCCTATGAGAATTTATTATGAGTCTCTTTGTATTCCCCTTTCAAACATATATATATATATATATGAGGGGTTATGTATTGTTTTAAAAGAGTGAATGTGATGTGATTGATTTTTGGAAATCTAAATCTGCTGGTTGTCATCGGAAAGCTTGCGAGCTTTGTCCGTCTTCTTTCTCTATCCCCTCCGGAATCCTGCGGGCTCTTTCCACCATTCTTTCTTGGCTTCTAATCTCTTTCGTCTCTCCGCAAGTGCCACTCCACTTGTATCTTTCTTCCAAGTGCAGTAACTTTAGGTGTCTTTGGTTATGAGTCAAAGTTTAAGTCTTGTAATTTTGTGTTTGTAATTTCTTCTTTTTAGTTTTATGTAAGAGTTTGTTCTTTCCCCTTCTTCGTCGTTTCGTGGTTTGTGGGTCTCGTCTGGTATTATCTCCTGTGCGGGCAGGGGTTAGGCTCCCTATATTTCTGCCCCACCAATTTGGTATCAGGCAAGTTAGGAAGTCCTAGGTTGTGAGTTTGTCAAGTTTTGTTTTAGTTTGTCAAGTTTTTGATTTTGTTTGTCAAGTTAAGTATTGTCGAGGTTTTGTGAGTTTTGTGAGTCTTGTCATGAGTCGTATTGTGAGTTTAAGTTTTGTGGGTCCAACAATTCGCCCCGGCCTCGCCCGTTCGTTTTTCTTTTTTTCGGCGAGGGAGTTTTAACTGAATAAGTTCCGGGTAAATTTTGGAAGGCAGATGGGTTTGTAGATAAGACACTACCCAGAGATTTCGCCTCATTTTGCGAGGACTTTATGATCTGAGTTCTGGTTTCCTATAGGCGAAGCCCCTATAGTTAATTACCCCTCCGGTCACGAGAGAGAACTTTCGATTAAGGCTAATCGTCAATCAGATACGTAGAGAACACGTGTTATGCTGGCGTATGTACAGCAATAGTTTGGAATTTGAGAACTGGATTTGGATTTGGGATTTGGAAAGTATTGAAAAGTTTGATATTTAAATATGAAATTTCACTAACAGCGGATGGTGGGAGAATGGATGATAGCCGTCAGATCCATGTTCCGTCGTCCCGGCCATAGTGGTCCTGGTCTACTTAGTCAGAGAGAGGTAGTCGACCCAACTGATAGAAGGATCCTTGTCGGCAGCCACATGGGTTGCTTCGTCCAAGGGGACTTGTAGACCTGGTTGGATGTTTGTCTAAGGGGACAAATTTGAATCCACCTTAAGCTACAGAGGGCTTTGTGCCCTATCGATTCATATCCTATTGATTCTATTCAAGGATTTTAACGCCACTAAGGAGACGTATTAGCTCTGGCCATCCGCTATCTGTTGGTGCCATTTGCTGCAAAACCACTCGGTTCAGAGGGCCCGGGTTATACACGTTTTCCTTGCAGTGCCATTTGGCGGCGAAACTGCCTGTTAAGGACCGTACTCGTCTTACTGGCAAGAGATTGTTTGAGAATGAATCATAGTGATATTTTTGACTAGGCATTTGACTCTTTGTG